TGATAGCCGTGGTATCTCGGCTGAGCGAAGCTACGAGGGCTATCGGATCATCTTGTCTCCTTTGCCGATGAACGTTCACGCCTTGAACTCCGTTTTCTTTCACTAAGATATCTGTGGGCGTCCCTACGGCATCGACGATTTCAAGGACGGGCGCGAAAATGCCGTAGGGCGTTTAAATATCGAGGCGTTTCCTTGTTACCAAGTGAACCACGTATCCTCGAATCGCTTTGTGCTAAGCGAAAGTTGGTGGATGCTCAAGCCTTAGAGGTGCTATCTGGTAATTCACCTGAACAAATCGGAGGTGAGACTCAAGTTGCATTGAATACCCTTTCATCTGCCTGAATAAAACCTTAAAAAAAAACAAAAAAAACACCTGGAGCCGTTTGGAAAACTTGAAGATGTCACCAGGGAGACGGTACAACCTCTTGGTAAGTTTGGTGAAATATCTTGTTAGCTTAGAGCAACGCTTTATGAAGGCCCAAAAATGACCGGCTAATCCAAGGAAGTCGCGTAGTGAGTGAACATAATATGGTCTTACCAACTTTGATATGCAATCAAGGAGCTCCAATCGACGTCGAGGACAGTGAGGTCAACCCCAAAGGACGGCGGCACCACTGAATATTTGCCGAGCCAACTCCGATTGTCCAGATGCAGGGCCTAGTCTCGGCACCACAGTGGGCACCGCTATGTCTTCATTGCCAAGGGACAGGCCATATTCGTAAAGAATGTCGTGTTCCCTGCTGCGAGACCTACCGACACTCCAGGTACACCAGGAAGGAGGGCATTCGAACGTACGCTGACGTGGCGCACGCCGTAATGGAGGGCGACACGACGGAGCACGTCATGAACCAGGCAGAAGCTGAGAAGGCGGCAGATGAAAACTCTTGAAAACTTCAAGTCTCAGGGTCTGGCCGGTGCAACGGCAGGCACTCCTGCCCATACACCGATGACATCTTTCACCTAGAAATCCTCAGTGATCAAAGTTGTTGCTAAACCAGCAAGCAGCGTGTCAGCACGCCGCCTGGTGCCCAGCAAACCTCAACCAAAAGACGATGGCTCACAAACAGCGTGAGAGGCCTTCGAGGAAGAGGAAAGCAAAGAAGATGCCGCTGACGAGATGGAAGCTTTGAAAGGCTCCGCACAGCTAACTATAGATAGAACCACCACCAACGCAGGAGGGTGGTCAACCGACGGGTTTTCGGGCGACGTGCAACATAGGTGGCGGATGGTGATGGCCATGAGGGGCCGTCGCCACGACAGCTTTCGAGCCCCATCGGTCAGTCAAACATCTAAGGACCCACGTACTGTGCGCCTGACGCTCGAGTGGCGGCGCTATCCTGGTGGCAGCCGTTTCAACTGCTAGGTCATGTGAAGGCCATTCCGAATGTCCGGACCGGGGGAAAGGGAGGCAGCAGGGCCGCCGCTAAGGGCCCCTGATTCTGCGAATCACAAACTCATTTCGTCAAAATCGCGTGTTTTTTTTTGGCTTTCTTCGCATTTTAGCAGCGCCTTCAAGCTTTCTCCTCTACGGTGCATTACCAAATTGTCTTTGTTATCACTCTTAAAGGTGCAAACAGAACGTAAAGAAACAAAAATTCAGTATAACGATATGAGTTTGTGATTCGCGGAGTCAGGCGCCCTTAGCGACGGCCCTACTACCTCCCCTTCCCCCGGTCCAGAGATTGGGAATGGCCTTCACGTGACCGACTAGTTAACACGGCTGCCGTTAGGATAGCGCGGCTCCGCGAAAGTCGGGCGTTCAAGTGGCGGCGTTAAGTTTGGGGCGCACTATACAAATGTATGGCTACCGTAGCTCCAGAAATGTGTGTCACAATGAAAGTGAGACTGACATAAATTTGCAGTGTAGTGTGTGCCATGTGCGATTCATTTGTTTGATACTTGCTTCTCTTTCGTGGCTGGGACGATTGCAACAAAATTAGAATGGCTCTCAATTTTGCCACCTTAAATGTACGGGTGGTAAATTCAAGAAGAAAGCAGCCTCAGTCGCAGCGTGTTTTATCTGATGAGCAATCAGACTTCTTCGCAGTTCAGGAGGCAAAAATGAAGGCAGAAATAACGACATTGCTGAGGCGCTGAAGCCCTTTTTCGACACGAAGGGGGATGTTTTCTTTTTCTAAAAAAGTGTGTCAGCCCTTCGAACCTTCGTGCAATTACAAAGAGGGGATCGCTAAACAAGTGGGTTAGCACACCTCAGCTAGGAGCACGTGTAACAAAAGCTCGCGCTGCAAAACCCAGAGGTCCTAGGTTCAAACCCCACCCCTGCTTGTTTTGATTTTGGATGAGCATCGTACCGGTCGTGGATCACTACCCTATGGTGCACGTTAAAGACCTCAGGCTAACAGTTGTACTGCACACCAGACGCCGATTAAGGCTAACTTCTGGCTGCATAAACATACACATAACACAGTCATTATGTAATTACAGTCGAATGCGGTCGTTTCATCACTTGGGATTTTACGTTGTAAGGTGAGCAATGGCGATTAATATGTGTCTATGCTCCTAACAACGTGCGGGAACAAAAACACTTTTTGTTTTTTAGATTCTTCAGCAATTACGTAGAATGCGACAGGCTTGTGGTTCTTACTGTGTCTGAGATGAACGTGATAGATCCTCGCGGTGTACAAGAAGCGATAGTAGTCGGACCTTAACAGATATCAGCGACTCATGTGGGCTCGATGACGTAGGCGCCTCGCACGAAGAAAGAAATGCATTTCAATAGACCCCTTTTCAAGCCTCATCGTGCGTCCGGCTGAATCGCATTTATGTCTCCGATGGCATTACACGGCGCTACAAAGGAGTTTTCTTTTCTTTATCGTGCATTACATTTGCAGCATAAAATGCAATGTCAGCCTCGAAGCTTCTTCGAGTTTTTTGAAAGAAGTAAGAAATTCCACCATGCTTTCACAAGCGCGGCTTTCAATAAAATACCTCGGCGATATTGAAAAAAAAAAAAAAAGGCTTGCCGGCGACCTGGCGGAGTTTCTTTTGCGCGCGCTTTTGTGTAGTTTGTTTTACAGCCTGTGTCCAGGACAAGATGCGCTAAGTCGGGTAAATAAAATGCTCCCCGACCGGTTATTAAGTCTTTCTTTTCAATGCATTAGCATTTATTGCCCTGGTGCATGTAACTGCCTGGTTTGTACAGTCGTGGTTTGGACTCAACTGGACTGGAGTGGTTTCGTTTGGACACAGCGCTGTTCCACCTTGGTCTTTCGCTCTGTTCGTTTACTCGCACGTTTCTAGGGACGCGCCGCTGTTGACGGCGGCTTCTCTTACGATGGCACCGGAGCGTAGGAATGTGGTTTTGAATCCCCAGCATGCACAACGCACGCCACAACGTAAAACCGAGAACTAGTGACGACAACGCTTGTGCCAGATCGCCTATACACGGGAGGAAAGATTGACTATTCGAAGAAAAGAGTATGCGGACAGTAGGTGGCGATCGACGGAAGTTGCGGTGGCTACATACGAAACCTTCGACGCCTGGGAGAACAGACTGCCTGTCGAAAAACTATAGTATGCGGACCGTTGCAAAGTGCGAATTTCCATCCTTCGCTGATTCGGAATTTTGCTCAAAATGTTAACGTATTTCGTCGAGAATCAGCGTAGAGACAGCAGCAAATTCGGCATCCTTTTTAAAAGCTGCACAGTGGCACAAAGGTGGTTAAACCTTGATTTAATGAAAATAGGATCTTTGTCCCATGGCCTGTTGGCTTCCTCCTATGCAAGACGCCTGAAACTATCCAACATAATTTCATCTATACTGTTAGAACGCGGTATTTTTCTAGGACATTGCGCAACGAACGTTAAAAAGATATATGTGCATAACCAGCGCGACAATGCGTTACCTACCATTCGAGAAGGACGATACGGTCCTTTATGACATAGTCATGGTATTTGGCGTATTCAGCATATAGGAAATGCGAATACAGTTTTGACAAGTCGAACCACATATCCACCCTGTACCTTGAAAATTCATTGGTGTTTTCGCCCAAGCCGAGTCTGTGTACTGTAGGACTGCCGACACTACCCGACTGGAAGCATTCCTTTCGCGTAATCAAAAATATAAGAGTTTTAGTAGGCCCAATGAACTTGGGTGATTTGTGTCAACACTGAGATTGCATTTTATGCAGCAAATATTGCGTACAATAAAGTAAATCCTCGTGGCGCCGAGCAAAGGCGTCGTGCTGCGTATTGCACGGTTCGGAATTCGATTTTCGCTTAACCGCTCGGTAAGTTTTACTTTTTACAATTAATAATGCCGAACTATCATTCTTTACAGTATATTATGAATATGTAGTATGCCTTCTCTTAGTATGATTCTGCATGGTGCACTATGGTATGTGTACATTTTATGATACCTTGACCTGCGTGTAACGCTTTTTCCTGACACTTACGCGTAACGCTCTTTGTATTAAATCCAGCTCATAAACACACTCTATGTTAAAAATTATTTAAAAGAGTAATGCATCAGTTGTTCAGCCGCCACTGTGTTTGGGCAATACCTCCTAGATTAGATGGTCGTGGGACTAAAGTTCCGCCGGCCTACGGATCCCCAGGAGGCGGGTTCGAATCCCGACCGGGGTGCCCGCAATATGACGGAGGCTTATTGCGGAGACGGCGCCGTGTAACCGAGCTTTCGGTTGCACGTCAAGAGATCCCCAGGTGGTCGAAATTAATCCCCAGGCCTCCGCTGGGGCGTGCCAGATGCCCGTCGTAGGTTTGGCACGTAAAACCCCCAAATTCGGACTAAAGTTCCTACGTCACTATAAGGAGATGAACGCCGGGCTTGAACGAGTGGTGAGTCAGCATTCGGCTGAGACTCACGTCGTCACTGACTGAAGAAGTGCTCGCGTTCGCCTCCTGAGGTGACGTTGAAACATCAGAACCACGGCCTTCTCATCTGGGTGATGTTGGTTCGAGCCATCTTTAAGAGTGCATGTGCCTACCGAGGACAGGGTCGATAAAACGCCGTGACTCACCCGTCCTTGAACTTGGAGACGAGCATGATTGGACCGAAGGATTCCTCCTTCGCCACGAACATGTGATCATCAACGTCCACGAAAACGGTGGGCTCCAGGAAGAATCCTGCGGGGTACAAAGAAGTTTCTATGGTCTTGTGCCGACGAGTACCCTATCACTTTCAATACTCGGAGTTTTGCCGGTCACCTCCTTTCTTGTCTATAAGAATCTAAGGTGACAAAATGGTGGAACCCGCTAAAACAACCAACTGCCATTTTTGAGCTAAGTCGCTCAAAAGCCCAAAAGTAAATTTTTTTCTTTCATAAACAGTACTTGCGATTTACTGCACGTCAATCACGCGTGCAAAAACAATATGTAAATCGCACAAAAATCTGATCTAAAAAAATGAACACCGTTTTTGCTGAAAATAAACCACACAGGTGTTTCTGCACGGAAATTAGCACGGATGTTTAATGATACCGTACACATTGTTTGTATCAAATTACTGATACTGAAAGAATAAAACACACTTGGGACGGACGACGAATCTTTGATCTCGCAACAACATAAATGATTCCAAATACATTCTTTGCAGCTCCACTCGTCGGTAAAAAATAGAAAGAAGGGGACGTGGAATAGAGGAGGTAAAGCAAATAAAACGTGCTTAAAACTATGCGCAGGGCAAGTTCGTCTGCTTCTTGCGCAGGGGGTAATGGTGACGTCAGAACGCTGAGCCCTGATTGGCTGATCGCGACCCCCTATCTGAGCGTCGTCTGCTCCTTTGCAACGTCGTCTGCTCGCAACGTCGTCTGCGTCTGTCTCACCTTTCCTGCGACTTTCGAAAGCGCAGAGGCCAGAGGCCAGGTTCACAAAAAGATCTTACGCCAAAAATGTGCGTAAGACAAAACTTGAGAACACATTCGTGTTCACGAAATTTTTGGAAGTTTTGCGCAGGTTACGACGAAGTCCTACGACAGCTCCGAAGCTGTCTTACACACTTCTTACAGTCAAATCAGCATGGCCGACAGCGTCGCAGTCGCGACGATTAACGGACGTTTATTTTTCTACGTGCGCTTCTCACGCGTCCCGACTTCAAGCAGCAAGAAAAAAGTAAAAAGTACTTGAAACAGACCACGACAAACAAGAACGCTGGATCCACAAACACCCAGGAAATACTCCAACGCCCACGGTTCCACCGACAACGACCAAGCGAGCTCGGCAGATAGGCCTAGCAGGCACTCCGACTCGGCAACCGTCTGCCCACGGCCGGCTGGCGTGCTGAATGGAATATGCCCGCGCGACCCTTGTGAACCCTTCCCGTCTTCTAGTTTGATCGCTGACCTCAGTTTTAGATTAAGAGGTCAATCTCTTCCTCTTGTCATCTCCTTGTTTTCGGAGGCAACGGTGACTCTGGCCGGTAAGAAAGCGGTGAATCTCCGACAGACGCAGGAAAGGTAAGGCAGCCATCGCTTTGACTAGCAGACATAAAGCAGACGACGTTAACTGCGCCAACCCGCCGACGCCGTTAAAGAGTGAGGAGTCTCGCCACACACTAAAGGAGGGAAAAAGTATTTGGGAAGGAATTCGCGGACACTAAGCACCCTCACTCTCGTTTCTTAGCAAACAAACCTCGGCGCCTCGGGACACCTCGCCCGTGAGTCCTTTGACTTCCCTCCTTGATGCGCGTCTGCTAGTTGTTAGACAAAAACAACGTACCGCTCGAGTTATTTCGTCTGCCCTCTCTGAAAGGCGAAGTCGAGTTCGCTCGACTTCCGAAAGTCGCAGGAAAGGTAAGACAGACGCGGACGACGTTGCGAGCGGACGACGTTGCGAGCAGACGACGTTGCAAAGGAGCAGACGACGCTCAGATAGGGGGTCGCGATCAGCCAATCAGGGCTCGGCGCTCTGACGTCACCGCTACTTTCTTTCTCGTGCGCAAGAGACGAAAATGAGCCCACTTGCAGGGCGGATAAGAAAGAGGGAATGATTTGCTGAAAAAACAACGTGTTCTCATTGATGTCAGAATCGTGTTCTCACTGATTGAATACAAGTTCCATCTGAACGGTGGCGCAGCACTCGCGATCAGTTCCCTGCGGTGGTCTCTTTTAGTGACGCAGGAAAATTCAACACTCGGGCCTTCTTATTTACAAGGCGTTGACTGACGCATCCATGTGAATAAACAGAGACGCACGAACCTTTTAATATATGGGTAGTATTGGCTCGAGCCCACTCTAACCGCTCATTCACAGTGGAAGTGGATCCGCGTTCGCAAAGCGGTTGCGAACGCGGTTGCATAAAGATCCAGTACAATTTCACGCGCACTTGATGTCATCGAGTGCGCGTGCAATTGCACTGGATCTTTATACAACCGCGTTCGCAACCGCTTTGCGAACGCGGATCCGCTTCCAGTGTGAATGAGCGGTAAGACATCTGGAGCTTCTATCCTCCCGCGTAGCACTTCGGAGAGTCAATCTCAGCAATCTGTGGAGGAGGTTCGGCAAATGACGAAGCTGATAATATGTTTATACCTAAGGAAGCTCCGCGCTATGTCACTGAGCGTGATGAAACGTCATGCTTATTGCCATGCACAGGTTCCCTTTCAGGTCAACACATATTATCAGCGTCGTCATTCGTAGGCTCTCTCAAGTGTTGTGCGGGAATGTAGGCGGTCCAGATCTCTTAGCGTGTAGCCTTCCGCTATTCGGCGGCTGCTGCTTAACCAATGGCGTCACTGTGAGGGTGCTCAAATAACATCAAAGTACCCGCACGCTGGGACCATCTATACTTGTGCGTATGATCGTTCGAGCAAATACTTCCAGGATGGGACAGTCAGCTTAGGGGTGAACGCAGTTTAGTAGGTATAGCAGCGCGTGGAAGAACCATTTCCATGCAGAAAGCGGGTTAGTGTGCAGTGTCGCCACAGAGCGGTGCAACAGACACCTAACTCACCAGGTCTGTCGAGGCGACGCCCTCCATAGACGAGGCGGGCTCCTTCTTTCTCTCCTTGAGCCACGTATTCCAGAAGCTTTTCCATGTGCCTCCTGCACCATACAGTGCATAAAGATTTATTTTTCCATGGGTCATGCATGGCGACCACATTTATCGACCCATATCTATCGACCTCGGGGAACCTAACTCGACCTCATTATTTCTGCGTCGATCGACGGAAGTGACGTCACCTACGAGCTAGGAAAGCGACGATCCGCCATTTTTGTTCCCTTGACTTCCAAACCACAGTAGCGGTCATGCGTGACAGTGGTCCGCCATAGCGACTAAGAGTCCTAGCAAGTTTTAACGTACATGTAGCTTCTCTTGTGTCGGAAACGATTAAACTGAAAATATCACGGATGCAAATATTGCTATACTTCTTCGTACTAATATCATGACTAGCTTACCCGCATGGCTATTTGGACATATTTATGACGTTGCCGGAACGGACGCTTATAGCGGGTAAGCCGCCATGTACTAACTATGATCGTGGTTGTACGGCCGCCGGCGATATGAAGGTGAACGCCGCACCGTCGACCGATCCCTGCTATCAGCGCCATGACGCGGCTGCCGTGGCGGCTCGTTTTCTTATCGCTTGCTTCGCCGCAATTAAGCGATTGGATCGAGCGCTGTTCTCAGCTCTGCTGCTACTCCCCGCAGAAAGCGCGAGGATTGCGGAAGGAGCCTTTCATACGCTATCGGTAGACAATGTGATTTAGTAGTTTGTTTTTGTTGTTGTGATATGTGCTAAATAAACCGGAAGGCTGCGGAGAAAATAAAGTAACTTATACTTTCCGCTTATTAAAAAGAACAGTTATTAGCGTTCGCTCACGAATGAAAAAATGAAAGCCGTTTACAACTCCCTGTAACGCCGAATTAGAGCGCAGCTCTTGTAGAGGAGGAGGGGAAGGTATGAAGAGGGGGCTATGGCCCTCCTCCTCTCCTGCTCGGCTCCCATTTAGGGGAAAATTTTCCGCAAAATTTAGCGGGGAATATTTTCCGCTAGATATAGTGGGGAAATTTTTCCGCTAAATACAGCGGGTAAAATTTTCCGCTGGATTTAGCGGGAAACATTTTTCGCTAAATTTAGAGGGTAATTTTTTTCGCTAGATTTAGTGGGGAAATTTTTCCGCTGATTTTAGCGGGGAAAATTTTCCGATAGATTTAGCGGGGAAATTTTTTTACCAAATTTAGCGGGGAAAATTTTCCGCTAGATTTAGCGGGGAAATTTACCCATCATGCACCGCGCGGTTACGCCGACGGCGAGGGCGACGCCGACGCCGCTCAAGCCGGAAACGGGTGCCTAAGAGCTGTGCTCTAAAAAGCGGTTAAGTCACTGATAAACTATGCCGAACAACGTCCCCTCTAGTTCACGTGCAATTTTGTAATAATTTGCCGGCAATGACATGGGAACGGCGCCCACAAAAAGCGATGCCGAAATCGAAACCCACTTCCACGCTTTCTGTGGGGAGTGGCAGCAGAGCTGAGAACAGCGAATGATCCAAGCGCTTAATCTCGGCGAAGCCAGCGAGAAGAAAGCGAGCCGCCACGGCAGCCGCGTCATGGCGCTGATAGCACGCACCGGTCGACGGTCCGGCGTTTACCTTCATATCGCCTGCGGGTGTGCTTCGGAGGATCCTTGGGCGGTTTAAGGTAGACCCCCGTCGTTATTGCGTGCCAGACAGTGATTTCCCTACATACCCCCTAGGTGGGGAGGGCGGAGGGGGGTGTACACCTCCTCTGATTTTCCTAAAAGCACCCTCTTAAAGGGGTACTCCGGCGTTTTTTGAGCTACCTGAACTAACAATATTTTCTGACTCCCCGGCCTTTACCCTTTCTGGTATGCTATTTAGTATCGTGAAATTCACAATAGTTATTGCGAAATCGGCAAATGAAAATGATGCAAAAACCAACATTCAAATATACCCGCCCTTTTCAGTGCCGTGACATCAGTGGAAGGCAAGCTTGCCAGTCGGGCGAGCAGTCTCAAAAATAGAATATGCCAATCATTTGTTCCGTGCTGGAGCGGGGGGACTGGAGCGAGCTTCCAAAGCATTCATTTGACACTATGAAACTGCTTCGAATCAGTTGGGAACAGATTCTACAGTCCAAAGAGTGAACCACTGCACTTCTACTGACGTCACTTTTTCGTTGTTGCCAGTAGAGACTTTCAGTTTGAAAAACACGGTGAGGACTAAAATTGTAAATTCAATAACTTCGTGAAAAAAAAATTATTTTGACCTAATATTTGGGACACTATTTTGACGATGTTGTTTGGCGAGTTTAGCAAAATTTCAAGCAAATCGGGCACCATGAAGAAATCGGCGGAGTGCCCCTATAATTCAGAACGACCCCTCTATTCTTAATGCCCGCCCCCTATCCCCCCCCCCCCCCCCCCCCTAAAAGTTTAGACACCCCTCTAATTTCAATTCCTGGGGAAACCCTTGGTGCCAGACGCCCTCCGCGTCTTGTTGCTCGCAGAGCAGTCGTGTGATGTTATGGTAACACATTGACGAGCTGCCAAAAGGCTTTTCTATGTCAGGGGATGCAAGCTAAACATCGTGGCTTTTAAGTCACGCTCACACCGCGAATACGTCATACAAAAAGACAACCTGTAGGGCACTATCTGGGGCAGCTTTCTTTCTTTTATGACTGTCCTGTCACACCGGCAATATAAAAACTGTCTGCACACATGATCGAAGTATACACATTTATGAAAAAAACGACATGCTTAGAGCACACTGCATATGTTTCCGCAGATGCTTCATGTCAACATGCCTGCAGCGATCCTCGTGTCCTGTGTATAATGTACGCCAGCGTGACTGCGGCTTTGGGATCTCTGGAGAATGCAGATAAAATGAACGCCATAAAATGAGAAATTGGAATCGATTTATTGAATACTTAAATAAGTATCTTAATAGCAAGTAGGGTTATGCAATAATGCCTTCAGTAAAAATGGACTAATGTCTAAACTAATACGTTTTGACTAAGCGATGTGCCAAGCGGAGAGCATCGTGAGACGAGAGATCAATCTTCTTAAATGGGTATCGACCATGGCTGGAAAAATACCAATGACCCCTACAATTGCGTGGAGACCAGATGCGGTACATACCCTTATGCTTATTGCAATACAGGTGTCGCAATGTAGCAGAAAAGTAGAGTGTGTATACATAAAAGTCTCAATTATTATCGCTAAGGTTTTCTACGTATTAACCTTACTTGCTATTGAAAATATTTATCGATATCTGGCATTCCAATAAAGTTATAAAATAGGCGAAGATACCAGCATCATAGCGCACTTAGTACGCATGACAGGAAACAAGGCGCACAAATAAAGAGTTCAAACAAGTCTGTATCAGATGATCTTTGACCTCGTTCTTTTTTTTTTTTTTTTTATGCAGCTGCAAACGCTTGTTAAAATACCCTCCGTTCTCGCCTAAAGTATTTTTTTTAAACTAGATGAAAATTTCTCGTGATTTATCCCAGTAGTGAAACAAACTCAAGAAGTATCGTCCACCGAGAGAATTAAAGAAACGTTTTAACGACCCGAACAAGATTTTTCAAGGCCTAATCACATAAGATATTTTGTGGTCCCTTAGTGACGACCAGACCTGAACAAATTTTCTAGAAGTTGTTGACGTCTTTTCAAACAGTGTTTGTTGTTTTTTCTAGCGTGACATGGGGTACAACGCCAGAAAACCAGGGTGGAGAATAAAATCCAAGCAGAATTAAATCATCACAAATATTATGATTTATTTCCTAATTTAAATCGCCCGGTTCTAACGAGGCGATTGGAATTAAACATTTTCCGCCAAAAATAATTAAGAAACAATTTTGATTCACTGCGCGTGTATAAATTACTTTTTCTAAACGCTTTCGTTTAGTATACTAAAAAATAATCATCAAGGAAGAAAGATTTATAGCGGGCTGAACACGAACAAAAAGTGGTGCACTTCTGCGCAAATCAAAACGCTGAGCTTTCTTCTTTGCACTTCGTCCATTATGTCACTTAATATCCTATTATATAGCAAGCGAATTTGTGTGCCAGAAAAGCAGGTAAGGTTTTCTCACTGTGAGGTTTACTTCAATAAAAAATTAATGACGCTGAACTTTGAAATATTAAATTTACAATAATACTTTCTTCGGCATTGTTTTCAGTGATCGGAGGACCTAATCAGTCATTATGCCACGTTTCAAAATACAAAACAATCATTTTTATCTAAAGTGATATAAAGTAGCTCAATCTGATTTTAATAAATTTGATTTAAATGAAATAACTCTGGTCTTAATAAAATACTTTTTAATAATTTGATTTTTTTTCGTATTATTTCTTTTACCACAAAGGAAATTAATCACCACTGCCTTTAGTGAACTGAATACCGAACAAGAATCCAACAAATATTACAAGAATTTAAAAAGTATATATTTGGTAATAATAATCTTTTTATTCACTTTATAAATACATAGAAATAATGCGAAGTAGCAAACCAGTCCAACGGGCAGGGTTGACCCCGCCGTCCTCCTGATAAACTTAATTCTTTTTTCTCTTCAAATTTATCGAATGTAAGAATGCCAGAATCATACGTAAAAACTACTTTAGTCAGTTAGACGCCCCCAGAATCCGTATTTCGTTGCTGGAGCGTATATACTACATATTCTATACCGTTTTACGAGAAAACTTCTGACAGGGTGCCTCACTGCATTACCGAGCGAAACGCACGCATGCTCTTCTTCAAAGGGAATAAGTGTCTATAGGTTCACCTGTGATTTTGGGGTCCGTGCGACGTTCGCCTGTCGAGAGGATCGCCTATCACAATTTTCTTTGTTTCAGAGACCTGCGAAGCACCGAAAGGTTGATCATGGGTACGAGTCCACGAGTGGCATGCAGCTGCTTAGACACACGCACTCACCACGCGTTCCACGAATTGCTCGTGTATGGATTCCTCAACGAACAGTCGCCCGGCCGCGATGCAGTTCTCGCCCTTGTTGAAGAAAACGCTGTTCATGCCCTGTAAGAAGAGAAAGACGGCACGAGATGCACTGGCGTCCCGTAGCGGGAAGCCCTTACTTTAACAAACATCCCGTACCATTCCTCAAATACACAAAAGGCCGCCACACTAATTGAAATCGCGGAATGTATACTTTCACGCAATACACTCGGAATAGTAGGATGTTGACAAAAGGCCTTGAACTAAGTTGTGAAACTCTTGCAGTGCAAGAACATAAAAGCATATTTCGCTAGTGGCGTCGAAAGCTCCGGAAAGCTCCGATATCAAAACCAATCTAAGCAAAACGCGAAGCAGTGAGAAAACTCACAAAAATAAATACACCTTAAATGTGATATATCCTAACAAAAAGGTTTGCGTTTTCTCTAACAGTTCTTTCTGTCCGCTTTCATAATCTTTTTACCTTGTCAGGAGTGGCACAAACGGAATTTTTTTTATTAACTGACAAACAACATCACTGTTTGAATTCCTAATCAGACCATAAAGCTTCAGGTCACTTTATGGTTAATGAAGCATAAACTATTGACTGCGCACCGAAGACCAGTACACGCGTCACCTATAGTCTTCGCATACAATGCAACCCCGCGTAGTCTCCTAGAGCCATACACTCAGGCTAACTATTTTGCCTTTCAATCGTTTTCTTAATCTTTCTATCTCTGTACAATAAAGAAACCATCGAGGTGGTTTCGGGACTGCAGGGCCGATGTTGGTGTCAATTCTGAATAAGCTGAGCCCGTCACGAATTTCCTAATACGTTTAGGTGAGCGCTACGTCTCATCGTACCTGGTGGCCTTAGGCCACTCCAGCCCACAGTGTGAGCTTTCTGCTTCCAGAATTTTTCTTATCGCACACTTCGGCTTCGAGTGTTCAAACGCCACGAAAAGACACACACAAAGAAAGTAGCAGCGTCGTTTTGAAGGAGCCACCGGAAAAACATCCACGTGGTCTTCACCCGGTCAGTGGCTACGATAATTTCAAGAGCTCACAGAACAAAGTAGACCCTTATGATTGCTCAACCAAACCGTGATTGCTCATTCCGAAGAGTCGTTATTCGAATTCGGCGCCGAATGACAGAGTAGAAAGAATTTGTCGACTCACTGAGACGTGAAAGATAGGGATCATTGTGCTTACAAAAAGCGTACGGCTCCCGGGCTTCCGTGAATGTTACACGAAATAATTCGTTAAATTCGAGAATATACGTTAATAAAAGCGAGCTTCTTTGCGAAGTGAAATGTAATTAGTCAAAAACTCTAAAAATATAATGTGCATTCACGTTCTTGAAGAACACGCAAGAAAAATTTACTGAGAACAAACAAACAAAAACACTTAAGACTGCCTACGTGTAGGAATGCGGAAGTATTCCTACATGCAGCGCATTCCTACAAGCAGCGCGCCGCGTCTTCCTTTTGCACACGGCGCTCCGGCGGTGAGATGACGGTCCCCCACTGCGCAGGCGCGGCACCCCCGCCGGCTCCACGGGTTCCGTGACGATGCATTTGCGTTGCTGTGCTTTTTTGTGTGTTTTATTTCTGAGGCACGTCCACTTTGACCTAGAACGCCTCGCCGGCTCCCGTGACGAAGCATCTGCGTCGCTGTGCTTTTGGCCAATTGGAATTCAGGTGCCGCTTTCGCTGCTACAGACAACGGCTACAGACAACGCCGGCTTCGCTCCATGGGACCAGTTAATGCTTTCGTATTAAACAATTTAGGGAAGAAGGAGCCCACAATGAATTAGACATGCAACACGTGATGTGAAAAAGGAGAATGTGCATGACATTTTATTTGCTTATTGTCTCTAAGTGTATAAAAGTTTTCATCTATTGGTAGTCGTATTTGGAGCTTCGTAATTTCTTAAAGGGATTGTCCGGTAATATGAAAAAGTTATTACATTTTTGCGCTGGTCACATAGAAAAGACCTAAGTACAAACATATGATTTTTATTTTATCAAAAAACCCACAATATTTGTTAAATCAATTATAAGTAGTAATACAAAACTTCCCGCCAATTTTTGCAAATCAATGGCTTTCGGCAAAGTACCGGACGTTAAATTACTTTCGTTTCAAATCAACATGTTATGATATGTACAAAGAACATCGTCGAAGAAGTGAGCTGGCTCCGGAAATCTGGTCTTTTTGAGGAAGAAATGATTTCGCAAAAAATATCAGACATAATCAAACTCGGCGCGGAAAGAGCTTAAATTCATGAAATTGTTTCGCTGCAGAGAACTACCTCGCAGAGTCGCAAGTCGCAAGGAGAGGACCTCAGCTGTGAGAGGAAATAATAGTGTCAGTGCTTTACACAGAAGAACACTGAAGCGGAGCAGTCGAGGGCTTTGTTTACACTCTTTGCATGAGATGACGTCAATGCTACGGCTGTTTTCCAACAAAAACGTCGTTTGTTTTGTGGACGCAATTTGGACAGTGGGACGCTGTTTAAAACGGAATTACTTATGCGGAAGAGGACAGAAAATCCAAATACTCATCGGAAGATGTTTTTGAATGCAATGGAAACTAAGTTCAATTATTCTCATGAAGACATAATTTTACTGGACAATTCTTTTATGATCCTCGCGTTGTTCGCGGTTATATGCTACCAGATCGTCCTGCAGGACAATCAACGCACAGGCTGTTTCGTTGAAGGGCATGGAAGTGCCCGTGGTGTACATGATTTTGTAGAAAGCGAGTTTACGCATGCTGGGAACGCAATCCATCGAAAGCTAGATGGAAATAGTAGTACGCTGAGGGCGGCCAATAATATGGCACATATATTCCGAATATTCTTAAATTACCGTTGTCCCTAGAGCCTATAGTTAAGCAATGCACAGGAGTGACGTCACTCGAGCCATTTGGCTGCCTAGAGGCTGAACTCCATGGACCGTATTATGTGACGAATAACTGGCGAACGCCGCCCGACGGCACGCTCGTTTTGCGCGCGACGTAGCAGCCACTGTGTTGATTCCACGCGCAGAACAAAAGCCGCCGCAAAATTCGTCGGTTTTTCGCAGCATATTCGTCCCATGGAGTTCAGCCTTAAAAGAATATTGTTGCAAGCACTGTGACGCTTTACCTGACATGGCATGAAAAGCAATCCGGTCCTTCAGAAAAAACACGAGAGTCCGCAATAAATATCATCTGCGCTTCCAGATTCCTTATTTCAACCTCAGGAGGTCGTGTTTATGAAACTTAGCCATCGCCAGGGGCTGCACAAGCTAACAAGCTAGCAGTGCACTCGAGGCAATCGAGGAATACTGACCGCTGAATTCCAGAAACCTCACTCAAACTACACTCAAACTGAAGGGCCCCTCTACTTCCTCGAGGAAGGCGCGAGGGCCGGCGCTGGCCAATCGCGACGGCGGATCCGTCCTCGCGATTGGCCAGCGCCGGCCCTCGCGCCTTCCTCGAGGAAGTGGAGAGGCCCTTCAGTTTGAGTGTAGTTTGAGTGAGGTTTCTGGAATTCAGCGGTGATACTCGAATCGTGCTTACTTAGTGGATCCAGTTGTCGCTAGTCGTGGTTGACAAGTTAAAATATGTACACGTTACGGAATAAGACTAACTAAATCCTCTTACTCGTTACTGGCTTAAAAAGTAACCCGGTGCGTTACTCATTACTGAGACTCAAAAAGTTACAGTCCCATTTCTCGTAGTGTGTTGTTTTTCTGAAGCAGTAGTCACCTGCCAACATTTTACGCCCCTCGTCGAGTCTGTTTGTTTAATGCCAGAATGAGGGGACCGTTCGTCGATAGAGAGTTAAATGAGAGTTTTAAGCCACAGTCTCCTGATGATTCAGCAATAACTGAGGCTCTAATGTAATACTTTGTGCGTATATCTATTGTCTATATAGCGCTTCCTTGCCGCAAAAGCCACAGGCGCGAGGGGGGAAGGGGGTAAAATCTCAAATCAAGCACCTTGTAGTGTATACCTGCTACTCTCCACAAATAACAACATACCGTTATGCGCCGTTCACACGCTTGCAACCGTGTAGGATGGAGAGAGACAACATCGGAAAGGGCGCCGTCGCAAGGGGCTTAAAAACCGGTCTTGTATCTCTCGGTCTTACTTGGCTGCAAGTGTGTGAACGGCGCTTTCCTCGCTACTCCATCAAAACGTGACTTAAACACGTCACTCAGTCCTCATCTCGATAAGTAACTAGGTCGTTACTTCGTTACAGAAAGTCACTATATACAAGTAACGCGTTTCGTACAAGTCTGGGCCGGTTACCTGTCGCACGGCCATGTCCATGTCGCAGTCCGCGAAGACGATGAGCGGCGACTTTCCCCCCAGCTCGAGGGAGCAGCGTTTGATGTTGGACACGGCGCAGCTGCGCATCACGTCCCGGCCCACCTCGGTGGAGCCCGTGAAGCCCACCTTGCGCACGTCCGGGTGGTCGCACAGCGCCTGGCCCACCACCGTGCCTGCACGCGCGGCCCCAACATGAACAACCAACGTCCCATTTACTGTGCCCGCTCATGTCGAAACCTCAGCCAGCGGAATTTATGCCTACGAAAATTCGACATAGATCAAACCCTCGGAGGCTAATGAGAAATTAAGATACTCCAAGGACCGATACTTTTTGTGTACTTATTTATTAATTAAATTGAACCTGCAGCGCCGATGGGCATTATTGTGGGAGTGCGAGGATGCGTGCCGAATTGTTTCCCCCATTTACGTCAAAAAACATCCCATATTCCTTGGTGGTCTTAAAAAATAATTCTTAGCAAATTCCGTCCTGGTACCTGGATCTTGCAATTTAATAATGTGTTTTCTTCGTTCTGAATCATAATCAGGAGGTAATATGTTGTGCTGTTGCCAGATGGTGACACGCACCACCAAAGTTCGGAAATATGGTGGAAGTTCGAAGCATTCCGTGTCCTCTTTAGTAAACCACTGCACCGAACAAAATCTGGCAGAATCTGGGGGAAATGCCTGGTGACTTCAAGCAACTGAAAGCGCTGCCGCATCTGCAATAGTGTAGACTGTGCTTTGTTGAGTAAGCTAACGCTCGATTGAAGTAAAGCCGTAGTGGCGTATACAGGTAGAAGCTGAAAGAGAAGAGAATATATAGGAGAGCGGGGACTTCAGAACAGCGAACTCTCGTCGCAATTATTACTGAGCAGCCGCAAAGCCAGCTGCTTTTATCCTTGCTCACTCTTCGAACGCTCTCGAACGCCAGACGCCGGCGCTCGGTGTTCGGCATCCGTGTTCGAACAGTTAGTAGAGAGAAAGGCAGCTGGCTTTGCCTCTACTCACTGATCACTCGAATCAGAGCTCATCGCTATGACGTGCCCGCGCGCTCTCGTCTACGTTATTCATAAACTAAAGAGACCACACCGAAAAAATTAGTGTAGAAAAAAGTAACCAGTCAGAGAGTACACACGTTAGGAGAAAACACAAGAAATACTCTCTTTCATACAACAACCAGATTTTATGTAAAAAAAAATCTATGGCAGGTCGCTAGTTTAGCCCACGTTGCAGTACAAGACACTTCGTCGACATTCCAACGATAGCGTACTCTTTGTGTAAGGTTCGACAAAATATTAGACACTGGATAAAATAAACCATTTTCGATAAGTGCTTACTTCGAGCTCTTTTTGTTCACGATCCGCCCATTGAATATCACGGTGAAAGGGCCCAAGTACGCACCTGATCTCGCCACCCTGTCGTCTCCCTCCGCATGATAAAGTTCGTCTGCTGCGGTGAGCGCCATCATGGCAACTTCGAATCAACAACTTACGAATATGGGTTTTTAGTTCGTCTTCCTTTTTAAAGGACGGTCATTTCTGGAAACTTTCGCGGAGTCAGTCCCCGATAATAATAAAAACAAGCCGTAAAGCTACATTATTTGGTAAGGTCCCTACCGAAGTTAGTCACAAGAAATCCATAACTGATAGGGAATTTAATGAGCGCATTTTAGCTTTCCTCTGTTCCCCGCAAATAATAGAGCGAGCGAATGATATAAAAGTAATGCGACCGGGCTCTCCGTGCTGGGAGATAAAAAAATTGACCACATCTCCACGTGGTGAATGATGTTGATAGGGGCGAAGCTCTGGTGGTACTTGTCTGCGTAGACGCTGAGCCGCAGCATGCCGAGCCTTTCGTTTGTTTTCATCCATGTCAGAAAGAGAATGTGTCGTATGAAACGTGGTTATATACGCATTTGACCATTTGACCGCAGCACCCTCTCGTCTATAAACGTTGAGCCAATGCATGCAGAGTTTAGCGCGATTATATGCGCATTTGACCGCAGCGCCCTCTCCTGTATAGACGTTGAGCGGCAACATGCAACGTTTCATCCATGACCCTTCCCCCCCCCCCCCCCCCCCCCCCCCGCCCCCCCCATCCCCAGCTCTCGATTTACTACCACATCTCTGAGCGCCCCCTGCTCTTCCCGCAGTCGTGGCCGAGTGGTTAAGGCGATGGAATACGCCTCGCAAGTGGGCTCATTTTCGTCTTCTGCGCATGAGAAAGGAAGTAGCGGTGACGTCAGAACGCCAAGTCCTGATTGGCTGATCGCGACCCCCTATCGAGCGTCGTCTGCTCCTTTGCAACGTCGTCTGCTCGCAACATCGTCTGCGTCTGTCTTACCTTTCCTGCGACTTTCGGAGCGAACTCGACTTGGCCTTTAAGGGAGGGCAGACGAAATAACTCGAGCGGTACGTTGTTTTCGTCTAACAACTAGCAGACGCGCATCAAGGAGGGAAGTCAAAGGATTCACTGGCGAGGTGTCCCGGGGCGCCGAGGTTTGTTTGCTTAGTGTCCGCAAGTTCCCTCCCAAATACTTTTTACCTCCATTCGTGTGCGGCGAGACCCCTCACTCTTTAACGGCGCCGGCGGGTTGGCGCAGTTAACGTTGTCTGCTTTACGTCTGCTAGTCAAAGCGATGGCTGCTTTACCTTTCCTGCGTCTGTCGGAGATTCGCCACTTTTTCACCGGCGAGAGTCACCGTTGCCTCGGGAAAAAAGGAGATAACAAGAGGAAGAAATTGACCTCTTAATCTAAAATTGAGGTCAGCGATCAAAGTATAACACGGGAAGGGTTCACAAGGGTCGCGCGGGCATATTCCATTCAGCACGTCTGCCGGTCGTGGGCAGACGGTCGCCGAGTCGCGGAGTGCCTGCTAGGCCTAACTGCCCAGCTCGTTTGGTCGCGTTCGGTGGAATCGTCGCCGTTGGAGCTTTTCCCCGGTGTCTGTGGATCCAGCGTTCTTGTTCGTCGTGCTCTGTTTCAAATAATTTTTACTTTTTTTTTGCTGCTTGAAGTCAGGACGCGCGAGAAGCTCACGTAGAAAAATAAACGTCCGTGGGTCGTCGCGACCGCGACGCTGTCGGCCATGCTGACTTGATCGTAAGAAGTGCGTAACAGCTTTGGAGCTGTCGTAGGATTTCGCCGTAACCTGCGCAAAACTTACGAAAATTTTGTTTCGTGAATACGAATTTGTTCTTAAGTTTTGTCTTACGCACGTTTTTGGCGTAAGATCGTTTCGTGAATCTGGCCTCTGCACTCCCGAAAGTCGCAGGAAACGTAAGACAGACGCAGACGACGTTGCGAGCAGACGACGTTGCAAAGAAGCAGACGACACTCAGATAGGGGGGCTCGATCAGCCAATCAGGGCTCGGCGTTCTGACGTCACCGCTACCCCCTGCGCAAGGAGCAGACGAACTTGCCCTCCGCATAGAAATCCATTGGGGTCTCCCCGCACAGGTTCGAATCCTGTCAACTGCGCAAGCATTTTTTTCGTCATTTTTTTTGTCCACACGAGGACGTGACCACGTGAGCACGTGAGCACGTGAGCTGACGAGAACGAGCACGAGAACCAGCAAGATCGATGTGAGCACGGACGCCGGACGGACAAGGCTAGACCCTAAGGAGCTTCGCCCCTAAAAACTGCACTCATTTAGCCAAGGGAAATGCAGTTGTCATGCTGGGGGCCAGTGGCGTACCAACGGGAAAGGGGAAGGGGGGTTTAAACCGAGTGCGCACGCAATGCGAGGGTCCAATTTATGAACCGCATTCAAGTACCGATACTTGAATTACTGTGCCAACACTGCGACCCCCACGCTACGTCATCAAGTTTTGAGAAGAGAGATGGATGGAAAACGAATTGCATGTCTTTTGCGTGTTTCTTTGAGGTAACATAAAAGTAATCGAGTAAAGTGCCGAAGTAATTAATCGATTACTTTTTATAGAAAGTAATTTGTAACGGTAATTCACTTATTTTTAGGCCAAGTATTTGTAATTGTAGTCAATTACTTATTTTAAGTAACGGACAGAAGACGTACCGGTTCCAGGGCGAGGTACGGAGAAGGAGAGGACACTTATTTTCCACTTTTCCTTTTTTTTTACTTTATTAATTTTCTCGTGCCTCTTTATTTCGCAAATAATAAGTTCAGCCTCTTCCTCCGAAACAACCTCACTTCCCTCCCTTCACGGCAAGGACTGCGTGAAACCCATACATAACTGGCACTGACAGAACATCAGCGCCATTATGTCGGCCTTGTTGCTGAACGCGTGCCTTCTGCAGCAATCATTTCGCCCCATCGATTTTGCTTTCCTCGGCTACGTCAGGTAGAAATATGCAGCGGTAGGATGCGATGCCGTCACGCGCGAGTCATGAACAGGACATTAGACTCCGATTGGAGGTGGACGCCGTAGCTCTAGGGACGAGTGGCGAGCGAAAAAGAAGCTCACCGGAGCCCGGCAGCACGTTGAAGACCCCGGGTGGGAAGCCCGCGTGGACGGCGAGCTCGGCCAGCTTGAGCGCCGTGAGCGGGCACACCTGAGCGGGCTTGAGGACCAGCGTGTTGCCAGCCGCCAGACAGGCGGCACTCTTCCACGACACCATCATCAGTGGGTAGTTCCAGGGCGTGATGAGTGCGCAGACCCTGCCAGGGGACGAGCCCCTCTCAGCAAAGCTGCACTCGAAACCGCTCAGACATCCCGCAAAAGACACGCTGCAGACAACACAATGCGGCGCGCAAGTTCGTCTGCTCCTTTTGCAGATGGTTAATTGGGGTGACACCAGGACGTCGAGCTCTGCTTGGCTCTGATTGAAAGATGAAGAGACCTCAAGGCAGCTTACTTTGACGTCTACCCACTCTCGTTCAATCAGAGCCAATCAGAGCTCAGCCTTCTAACGTCACCAAAACTACCTGCAAAAGAAGCAGACGAACTTGCGCTCAGCATTATCTGCGGAAACGCCTCGTTTGAACCATCGTGCTTGCTTTGAACATGTCTACACACTCTGGCCTATAGACGCTTTGCAGCAGCTGGTGCATGGACGCCGCCATAACTGACCTTCAGTTTTCGTTTCCTATCATTTCGTTTATTTCACTTCATCTTTACCATAGCAGGCTAGGTTATTGCCACATTAGATTCAACTGTGTCCATTTCTAAACCATCGGCCTTTGTAGAGGATCGTCCACTACCGTTTCAGTTGCTCGGCATCTCAGTAAGACAAGAGAAGGTCAGCAATGGCGGCTGTAATTTGGCGCGTGTGTAAAGCGTCTATATGACATCACGCCTTAGACAGTGTACTCAAGACTCTTTTTTTCAGTTAAAAAAGATCGTACCTTTTTCCAAAAAAAGGAATTAATTGAAGAGGGACAAAGGACAAACACACATCTCCAAACACAGGTAAATGACTGATGCGCGACCGAAAAAAATCTGCCTGGTCCGGGTATTGAACCCTGGACTTCTCCATTTCCAGTGGAGCGCTCTCCCAACTGAGCTAACCAGGGGTTAGACGGTTTATTTCATTTAAATCACTATAGGCAATAGGGGCTCTTGACCAGTAAATGTAGTTCCAAGATGTTAGACTGACCGATCAATCCGTTCGATCGCTGGAAACAGTGGAGAGGAATGAGTGTAAATCTTACAGTTGAATAGACCATTTTCCAAAAGTCAATCGGGCAACATTGGCAGTCACCATTTTTCGGACACGAAGCGCGTGATTGGATCCGAGTCCTCGCCGAACGCTGACGCAGGGCTCGTGTCCAATACAAACCGAGCCGACTTCGCGCCGAGTGCTGACGCGAGCCTCGTGTCCAACACATGCTCCGGGTATGCGACGGAGCAACGACGGACGGGCGTTCCCATACTAAAACAAAAAAAGCTTCATTTTTTAGTTAATAGCAAAGCTGCTTTTCCTTTCTTATTCGCGTTCTAAATCCCTTTCAATGTGACGTCACTTTTCTCGTTTTAAATGTCTTCTCTTTCGCAATCTGATTTGCTTAGAGCAGAACATTACGAAACTTACGAACAAAGTGGAAGGTAGCAGGAAACTTTAACGCACTGATTTAGTACCGCTATGCATTTAAAACATAAAAAGCATCATAATAAACAGAAAAAGGAAATATAAACAAATTGTTTTGAATTATTTTTGCCCAAATCGTTTGATATCATTTACCACTGCAAAACCGCTATGATATAAATCGTGATTTAAAACATCGTTGATTTTAATTTTGCAACATGGGGTTTTGTATGATATTGGCCTCGAGATCGACCTAGAAGTGGCGCTACGGTCGCGCTATCATCATCACCAAAGCGGGGATAGGAGAACGGCCGCCCCATAGGCTCTCCACGTTCGCGCGCGAGACGGCGTAGATTCTTGCGTTTATTTTGTCGCATACTATCAGTGGGAAAACAATTCTAGCGGAAAAGAATGCGGTACTGTTCGGTGCTTCAGTGAAGATCGAATCGTGTTGCCAGTGTACGGCCTAAATTTATATAATCGCTACTGTGGGTGCGTCGTCTGCTCTAGGCAGACGTTGGAAAGCATGGATCACCACGACTGATGCCTGTCTCCGGGTGAACTGGAATATTTATGTTAAATATTTGTTTCTTTTAAAATGGATGTATCGGTTCATCAACGTGGGAATTAAAAAAAACAATAAATTCCAACCCAGATAACATAATACTGATACTGTGGGTCGTGAAATCGCAGCTGTTAAAGGAGCTGTGCAACAATTTTTGTACTTTGCGCAAATACCGCTTAAAACGGACCCCTAACGTTAATGACCTATGAAACACGCGTTCGTTTTTCACCCCACGCAATAGAAGTCCCAGAAAAAAAGTTAAGAAAAATGAGCAGCGTTCACCTCCTCAACTCGCAGCCAGAACAAGCGGCCACGTGATCTGGAGCCGATTATATGCCGCCAGTGTTGATCATAGCCACGCGCTGGGGTTGGCAAAGCGCAGGACACGCGCTGAGTTCGAGACATTGTTATGGCTCGGCTGTTGTCGTCGTTGCAGCGATTGGACACGTGTCACTACCCGAATGCTTCTCGAGCTAGCAATTGTCACGAGCCCAAGTCGAGTGCCCACGCAATGCTCGGGTCCAATCTATGAACCGCATTCAAATATCGTCACTTGGGTGTACTGCGATCCCCGAGTTACGTCATCAAATTTTGCAAAGGAGAGATTGAATGAAAATGATCGCTTTTGTTCTTGAAATTACACCGCAACAAAGGAGTTTCTTGGCCAATGGCGTTGCGTGTGAGTATCCTTGAGTCCAAAGTGTGCCAGTAAGCTCGTGTAGAGAGAAAAACATTCCAATTGAATATCGTTGCACAGCTCCTTTAAGGCCGGTTCACATATGCAGCGAAGCGCTGATGTAGCGCTGCTCACGTGCCGTCAGCTACTTGCCGTCAGCCATGAGCAACAGTTTTGACGGTGCGATACAAAGCTGGTGAACGCTGCCGTAAGCACGCGCTTAGCGCGAGGTCAGCGCTATGCTTGGAGCGTTCCGCTGCATGTGTGAACAGGCCTTTATGCTTTTTTTTTTTTTAACTTCTAGCTTTTGCAGTAATATAAATATTTATAAAGAGGATAAGTTAGCGCTGTATGGGAAATTACCATGCTATTGAGTTCCTCTGCCCTTTTACTGTGCCATAGTGTGGGTAAGTGTTTTGGAGTCTGAACTAGGGTGACCACCTTCCTGTTAGCGAAATGCGGGACACGCTGACTCGGAGGTGTGTGTGTGTCTGTTTGTGTGTGTGTGTGGGGGGGGGGGGGGTTGTGGTTGTAGTTGTAAGAGAAGAACGGTATTATATTTGGACTGTGGCAACTGCAAAAAAGGACTTGGTGCGCAGTCGAGCTGGTAGACGTCTGCCATGATGTTTTAATCCGAGACGAGCAGAAGGAGGAACATTCCCCCCCTCCTGCCACAGCTTCAGGTTAAAAATCATCATGCAAAAATAACTATTCGAGGACATTTATTAAGACATGCCACAAAATGTCGCTCTTCTCACACATTCAATATCATGTCTTGTCCGAAAGCATATTATACAGCTGCAGATTGTATTGTGGCAATGAAGCTCAAATAATTTTCACTCCCAGGGATGTATTTCAAGTTTTAATGCTACGTATGTTAATAAATATATGTAAGTTGAAAACATAAAATCGACTGCAGCAGAACTCAGTGCATAAAAAAATAAAAAAGAGAAGCTGTAAATCTTTTAAGGCCCTGTCACACTGCGGAAACAGTCGGAGAACTTTGTCCTTCAACACGAGGAAAACATGTTTTCGGGGACCCTGTCACATTGCGGAAACAGCAACAGTCCGGAAACATGTTGCTGTCGTCCGAAAACCATGTTTCCCAACTTGTTCTCCGACACTCGGGGAACATCCTGTCACACCGAGAAAGCGTGTTGGAAGAACACAAATTGCCTCCTGTCCTGCGCGCTGCATCCGTCTCTCTCTCGCCCTCGTCTGCCCGGCCGGCTCGGCTAAGCTACAAGCGCGAGCTCCGGGCTTTCAGCATCCCTGCCAAGCACGCGCGCCCGTGCAGTGCAAGCACTGTTCTGGGCCAGATGCTCGCGCTTGTAGCATGGGCTGCGTCTGGACCGAAGCTGAAACGAAGTATAGGCGGCTAGGCTCAGATCCGCTGGCTCCGCTCGCCCCTTGAATCTTTGCCATTTTGGATCGCCGTCTCATCGACGTCGCTCTACCGTAGTCGGTTCATCAGCCGCGCGAACCATCTCGTGTTCTCTGGATTTGGCGGTTGCGTTCTGCTACAGGGCTAGACCCTTGCTCGATGGCATACGCGCCGGCCACAGCAGCAGCTTCTGCTTTGAGGCCCTTTCATATTGAGGAAACACGGCGGAAACATGAACAAAACATGTTTCTCAACAGTCGGGGAACATGTCGGCTGTCGGCTCTGTTGCCCGACAACCCTGTCACATTGAGGAAACAGCAACACAACATGGACGACAGCGACAATGTTGTCTCGGTGTGACAGCTTTTGGCAACGGAAACCTCGACAACTTGTGTCGGACGACACGTGTTGCCCATTTTGGTGGCTGAGCGAATTTTTTTCCAGCAACACGGCAACATCTATATTTTTCTGTACAGATAGTCGCACGAGAATACTTCAATAATTGACGTCAAGCGTGAAGGGCCATTTTGAACGCGGCTTCTTGCTCGGCGGCAGCTGATCGTCAGAATCATCTGAATCGATGGCACAAAGAAGCACCAAAGCAGAAGCTGCTGCTGTGACCGGCGCGTATGCCATCCTGCAAGGGTCTAGCCCTGTAGCAGAACGCAACCGCCAAATCCAGAGAACACGAGATGGTTCGCGCGGCGGATCAATCGACTACGGTAGAGCGACGGCGATGAGACGGCGATCCAAAATGGCAACGATTCAAGGGGCGAGCGGAGCCAGCGGATCTGAGCCTGGCCGCCTATACTTCGTTTCAGCTTCGGTCCAGACGCAGCCGCGCGAGCATCTGGCCCAGAACAGTGCTAGCACTGCACGAGCGCGCGTGCTTGGCAGGGATGCTGAAAGCCCGGAGCTCGCGCTTGTAGCTTAGCCGAGCCGGCCGGGCAGACGAGGGCGAGAGAGAGAGGGAGGCAGAGCGCAGGAGAGGAGGCAATTTGTGTTCTT